GACACAGGTTTGCAAGAGAGAAGATGCTAAAGACAAAGTAATTATGTGGAGGGACTTACTTAAAACCCAGTGATATTCAGGGTCAAATTTCACCATGTTTATAATTTGGCTTTTAATTTTAGAAGTGAGAAAAATTTAAGAATATGCAGAGCTAATTAAAAGAGGTGTGTCTGGTACATGCATCTAGCAATAATATAATTGTAAATTACCAGGAATATCCTGGACATGGTAGAAAAGAGAGTCATGTATCATTACTACTTCAAGGGCAGTCCATGTAGAGTCCCCACAGAAAGAGAGAGAATTAACTGCCAGTCTACAATGGCCACCTTCAGAAGCAAACTACTCTTACTCTATCCAGAAACCATCCCTAAAGAAGATTTAGAGGAGGGAATGGGGCTCATTATATGGTTAGGGGAAGAGAGTGCATGTGTATTAGGGAAGCATCCAAACTTACCATTGCCAAATTGTCCCTATAAATTATAGAATCACATAAGGAAACCTGGCTTATCTACTTCCATAAGCATTACTACTGAACAGGTAAATGAGCTGGGAAGCCATGCTCTGAAAGTCACGTTAGAATCATTTAGAAAATGACAGAATGACCACCTTGTCCAAATTAGGTGCCCTTTTTTATCTTTAGAAAAGTCAACCGATCAATATAAGAAAGAAAAGCATGCAAACCCCACCCCCTCAAATAAAAAAGGATTTGCCCTCACTTTCTAACAGGTAGCTAAAGGTTGGGGGAGAAGGGGGAGGACAGAATGTATCTTTTAATATGTTATCACCACAGAATATTGTAAGATTTTACATATCTTTTTAAAAATGAAATCATCAATGGATCAAACAGTCTGCCAATCAACTCATTCTCAATATTACTTTTTATATAGTTGTTTATTCTGCTTCTCAAGGTAATCAATATGGCTTATACTATGTGGGTTCCACTATACTCAACTTGGTAGACAGTGTTGACTAAATGTATTAAGCAAGAGGTGACATTGCTGTGACCCTCTAAGCAGTATAACATAAATGTCTGCACATGGACGTATTTGGCACGGCCCTGTCTGACTAAAAGCCAAGCACTTAAAGGCAACAAACAAGGAGGAATGTCAGACAAGGACAGAAGTGATAAATGCATTCCATGCTGAATAATAGAGAACATCCTGGAATTGTTTCCTTGGTTTTGCTGATGAATAAAACTGATGACAAAACTCTTGTGCTGAATGACATGCTACTGAGATTCCTTTCTCTGTGGCTGGGGCATAGGGAAAAGCAGTGCATTAGCCTCATTCTTACTCTGTAATTAAGAAAAACAACAGCTCTCTAAAATTATATTTCCTTGATTTCAAAGCCTTCTGTTTCAACTGATGTTCACTGGGTATTCTTTCAGCAATTAACAGACCATGTTTATTTATTTTTTCCTTATCTGACTTAAAATGCTTTAGTGGTAACCCATGGCCTAGCATAGACACACAGACAGACAGACAGACACACACACATAAACTCAGCTCCCTAAAAGCATGGCTGGACATTCAGAGACTATATGTTATCAATATAAAGGCTGGATTTTCCATCTTCTTTTTCTTTACCTTTGCATTTTTAAAACTTTATGACAAAAAAGCTTTCGGGTTAGTGAATTTCTTCTTTTGAGAGAAGCAGATGCTATGAAGAGCCTTTTTTTCCTTCAGTATTGTATTATGTTTCTTCACAAGACAGAATTTTAACTGATACTGAATTATTCCTCCGAAAACTGACTCAAAACATCAACAGGCTCATTGGAATAGACTGGTAGCCAATGAGGAATTTTTAGCCGTCAACAAGAGCCTCTTAGGACCAGAGCTTGGTCCTATCCTCAACTAAGGACCAAGTAAGGAGGAGATAAAGATATAAATACATGCTTTTAAAATGTGATTGATAAATATATAGGTGATTGATAAAAACTACAATCCCAAAGTTAGCATTTAGTTTTGCTCCAAAGAGTCATTTACATTATTTAGACACACATTTCTCCATAGAAACAATGTTATTGGTGGTATTTTAGATGCAAGTTTTAGCTTATAAAATACCTTCAACACAGAAAATAAGCATTCAAATGTTTCATCATATGGTATTATTGGCTAGAACAATTCAGTTGTCAGTAGCAAAATGACCTAAAGCTTTCACAAGCACACAAGGAAAATATAAAGATAAATGGCTATTTTATGCAACCCCAAGAAATGGGAATACAGCCGAGCCCTGTGAAAAACTGGAGAAGCACCTTGGTTCCAATTTCTGTTTCAACAACTGAAGTTTGTCTCCAACTTCAGTTCTTATCTTAATGGATCTGCTTTATTCTTTTCTCTTTCTGGGGAACTGGTTTTTTTTTCTGAAGAACACTCAGGCTGCTATGTGGGGCAGACAGTAGTGGGGCAGAAATTGAAATTGGACAGACCAGAGCTCTGGCCCTAATTCTCTTGTTCTCGGGACAAAATGCACAAACGGTAGTAGATTCAGAGGAGGCAGTACTGAGAGGTGTGGGCATAGTAGATGGAAGGAAGGCAAACTTGTAAGGAGCATAGAGAGACAAGGGGAATAGAAACTGAGGATGACAGAAGAAATGGAGGTAATATTTGGAAAGGAGAGTATGGTACATAGGACTCCCTAATTCATCCAAGCCACGGGCTTACCTAAATTTAGGTAGGCTAGACATTATTTACTAGGCAGAAGTATGCAGTGAGGAAATTTCTGGTAAGGACCCAAGAGTGCAGGTTTCCTGGGCCATCTATACCCTAGACACCTGAGCTCCTTTTGGGTTTTATTCTCTCATGCGAAACTGGATGATATGACTTCTAAAGAACCTTCTAGCTCTATTCATTTTTAGTTCAAATAAAAATGACAGAACTAAAGATCACACTTTTGTCCTGGAATTCAATCCACTTGCTATTATAGATGCTTCGAAGACTGGATGAGGTCCACAACAAGGAAAGCCTTGGACCTCATCAGGAAATACAGCGAGCCAAACAGAAAACAAAATTCTGTTCTGATTAAAAACTCATGAAGAATTCTTAACAGAAGTGCCATATGCCTTTGTTGTTAATGAGCCTCAAAACAAGCATAATGAAGCTGGAGAAAGTCCAAAGACACAAAATTAAAATAATAAAAGATAGCAGTTTCAACACAGACTAAAATAACTGAGGTTCTTCCTTATAAAAAGATTAATATTAAGGGGCCATGAAGACAAATAGCCTCAAAAACATGGACACAGTAAGCATGGATTTCTTCAGTTTATCCCAAAGTATTAGAACTAGGCACTGTCTTGAAAGTTACAGAAGAAATTTTAGGACAAATACTTTATGAATTTGTATGAAAAGTATCTATACTTAATCAGAAAAGTAAGAAGAAAACAGTGCAATAGCATGAACACAAACTGTATCTTTTATAGTCTTTGAATAAAATACAGTTTTAAGAAAAGCTCAGTAATTTTTGAATCATCATTAATTTTCCAACAATTGTTGTATGATGTGGATATGGCGATGACAGAGCATAAAGTGCCCTCTGCTGCCACGAACACTTATGTCACCAACTGCCAACATGGCCAGAAAATTGTTAGGAGGAATATATAATTTCACAGGCCTATCAGTTACTTGTCATGTATCTCAGTAAATGAGGGAGTAACCTTCAGAGTTAGAGGCGAACACTTGAGCCCACAAAATTGTTTGTTAAAAATCAAGGACTATTAAAGAAAAAAAACAAATTATCGAATTCCAGTTAAACATGAAGGACTGGACACATTTTGTTTTCACCGCTCTGGAATTCACTAAAATAATAGTGAAAAGATTGGAAGAGGTTCACAAGAATAAAGGAAACCTTCTCTCTTCTGGAATTCACTAAAATGATAGTGAAAAGATTGAAAGAGGTTCACAGGCATAAAGGGAACCTGAGAAGAAAGGGCTGTGACCCAGTTTTGGAAGCTAGAAACATCAGAGAGCAAGAAAAGCCCCAAATGGAGGAAACCAGAAGCTGGCTGTTTTGGACCTTAGAGCCCAAGAAATTCTCAGAAGTCAAGAGAGAGGCATCCTAGGGGTGCAACTGGGGGCAGGCTCAAGGAGAAATGTTTCACAGAAAAAGTAGAAAATGTTTTCAAGAAAAAGAAAAATTCAAATACTAAATGTATTTGAATGTTTGAAGGGAGATTTGTAGTTCTGAAAGAGAGTTTAGGTGTGAGTTAATGATGCATAGGTAAAAAAATAAAATTTTAAATTAAGCCCATCATTAACACTTGGGAAGAAAAAGGGATATACAGGAAAGGAACTGCAATCATAGTAAAGTACATGGACATGTGAATAATACTTATGTCATTTCCCATCATAGTGTAAACTCTGAACCATTAAATCAGATAACAGATAAGAGATCTAAATGATCTCGATTGACACATACAAATTGATCTAATTAAAACTAATGTTATGATTATTTTTAAGGGATAGTGGGAGACATGAGATATGGGAGGAAAGTAAGAGTGATAAAATATTATTTTCAATAGCATACATCAATAGACAACATATAAAACTAAAAATCCAAGGATCAGTATATCATTCTATTATTTTGACATAATGGAGGCAAAAGAGAAGAAAATAACAATGATCACAAGTGGTCTTTGATGTGACTGCAGGTGGGGATGAGTGTAACAGAAGACAGTTCTTCCTTTTAGGAGCTTTTACAACTACTTGCCTTTTAAGACTCTGTATATAGTAGGTACTTTGATAAAAACAAACTAGCCCAATAAGTGCACTCTGTTGTCTTAAATTGAGTATAATATATACGACTTTGGATCTTTATCCTGAAAAAGAGAGAGAGAGAGAGAGAGAGAGGAACAGGGAGAGACACAGGGGTTGGGGGGAGAGGGAGAAAGATAAATTTCAGAAAGAAAAGAGACATCCAAGTTGTTTTTCTGCCCTTAACTGGGGTGAAATAAGATGCTTCACTTAGGGTTTGTTTTGTTTTGTTTATTTTGGCTTTGGAAGGATTTCATCTTGTTTCCAAAATTCTTAGCATGTTCAAAAACATTTATTTTTAATTCTTAATAATAATAATAATAATAAAATATCAAGTATTCACTCCTTAACTCCAATGTCACCTCCTCTGAAGAGTCTTCCCGGGCCACCCAGCATCGCTTCACTGTTACGATCAAATCACCCTGCTCTATTTCTCTCGGCTCTGACCGCTCTCTGGCACTTCCTTGTTCAGTGCTGTTTCCGTGTCTGGCAGCAGCGTCCTCCTTCCTCGGAACGTGAGCTCCAACGCAGCAAGGCTGGTCTGCCTTCTCTCCCCAGCATCCATAACAGTTCTGGCCCTAGTAGGACCCAACTAATATTTAATAAGATATTCATAAATCGTTATGTGACTCAGTTCTTTCCCCACCTCCTCTCCCAGTTATTACTAAAAGTATATCATTGGAAAACATATTCACCTGAACCCTACCCCAAATCACATTTACTAGGTAGGGCTTAGCATTGGACATTCTATTGCCTGGCACGGAATCCTGGTTTGTTTTGGTTTTTACCTATATAGACTGGAGGTTAATCTCCTTTCTAGGACGTAGTTATCTCACCTGTAAAATGGTGTTATTTATAATAGCTTGTCATAGGATTTCTAGAGGATTATTAAATTCATTATTGATGTAAGAAAGAAAAGTGAGTTATTACTTCTCTCTCATCCTTCATACCATTCTGAGCAGATGGAGTTCACACAGGAGTTAAGAACATGGATTGGCATGTGCTCAGCAGTTTCAGGGAGTGGAAAGAGCTACAGTAGGCCTTTACACATTTTTTCTGAAGCCCAGAAAGTATTATTTTCTAGTCATCCACATAATCTAGGTGTAACAGTCCAAGAAAAGTTTTTCAATCAAGTGAATCTTAAACAAGAGCTCCGGTGAGAAGTAGGTTGACTTAGCCTGAGAGTTTTTGCCAAGTATAGCTCTGAAAGGAAAAATCCAAAAGGTGGGAAAGAAAAACACAAGGGTCTAAAAAAGGAAATCAGAGTAGAAAGAGTGAGATTGTAAGATAATCAACATTGACAAGACATGTAAACAAGAAATATTGGCGAAGAAATGGTAATAGAGACAAGAAAACAATGATGACTTTATTAATCATCTGATCTGGAAGATGTCGGGGAGACTAAGGAAAACAAACAGGCTGCTGCACTAAGAAAAGCTGTGATAAGTTGCAGTGTGTCACCAGCAGGTGACGAGCATAACAGAAGGACAAGGAAAGGTTCACTGTCACCCCCATGGCATGACCTGCTCCAGAGGGTAAAAGACAACAGGAGTAGCTCTGCTTAAAAAAAAGAAAAGACCCTGGGAATTTCCATAATGTTCCATGGTGGAGGCAAAGGAATGCTTTGAACTAGGAAACAACTAGAGCCAATGAATTTTCTCAGAAATAAAGTATTCTAATTTCCTGCAAACATCCCCAGAGTCTGAAGCAAGGGAAGGTCAACATTCTGTGCCCTTCCTATGATGCATCATCACAAATAACAAAATAATCCCCACTGGCAGACGGCATCTACAGATGTACGTGTTAAGGAGACAAGCTGAGGTATTTTCAGCAATTCAAGACACCACAGGTACTAGGATGCCCCAGAGGTGATTATTTAGCTGGGAATAAAGTTACTTTCATTGGTTTGTAGCCTACAGATCAAAGTACACAGAAAAAAAAATCCTGAGTGTTGCATCTTTTTTCACCATGAAAAATTAAGTTCATTCTGCCATCAGTAGAGTGACTGGGACTTTAATGCAATTTAAAGAGTTAAGCTTTGACACAGTGCCTACTGGGCTGGCTCTGCTGCTATTTAAAGACTATGAACATCTTGTGAGAATAGTTGTCTTCATAAATGAGTACAAACCGGGAGAATGCAAGATGTTCTTGGGAGTTCGGCATTCCCACATGATGTAAACATTTAAGGAACATTCGCCTTTCACAGGGTATTATGCAATCTACTGGGGAATTAACAGTAAATAAGAAAAAGCCTTTCCTTCAGGGAACATCCAATTCAGTGGGGGAAAGAGACCAGTACACAGACAGTGTTCATAAGTGCTACAGAGGGGTGAGTGCCAGACCTAAGGAGGTTTCTGCTCATATGATCTTTGCCCTTGAGACTCAGTGACCCTATCTAGGCCACACACTGCCCAGCACACAGCATACAAACCAAGACAGCTCAACAACTCACATGACACTGTGAGTATCAGCACAGAAACAAGTCAAAGCGTATCTCCTACTGATATTGCCTCAAGAATATCAGCAGGGATATTAAACAGCTACATTCTAACTATGGGAAATCAGCAAGACTTCCTTGGGTGTTTCTCAGGCATTGACACAAGAAAGGGCCAGCCCATGAGAGACGGTGAGTACTGCACGGAGAGGAGGACAGCAGCCTGGTGATCGTCTCTCCCTCTCATCACCTCCCCCAGCCTCCTTTACCCAATGCCAACCATTTATCCTGGGGTTACAGAGAATCAGAGGGAAATCTTCATTCTAAAGAAGGAATCTTTGCATGTGATGGCTCAACTCTTTCCTCGACCCCCTGTTATTGTAAACACTACCAACAAAAGACTGGGTCAACTAGAAGTAAACTGCACGGTGATACTGTAGTTTCTGAAGTTTTTTCTTTGGTTATTGATTGTCTTTCTACGTTTTATGTAGTGTTTGTGTTTAGCAGACATGTATGACAGTCCAGTGTGAGAAATTTTGAAGACAAGGTTTTGAGATGGAAAAGGAGGTTTCTACAGATAGTTCTGATAAGGTTAGTGATACATAATTATAATTTTCTGAGTCATTTTGCTGCTCTAGGTCAATAAGCATCACAGACCCTCTCACAAAAATTCCATTTTTATAATGAAAGCTACTTATCAATGGGTTTTACAGTGGGCTGGCAATCCAAGTGACCATGTGGCCCTGGGTTAAAGAACTTTCAACTGCTATGTGGCTCCAGCAAAACTGAAAAAACACTGCCACACAAATTAAAGTCATTTAACAAGTAAAGATGCCAATTATTTTAAACGGCAACTCAAAACAGAGAAAAGCTTTCAGTAAAAGGTCCAGGGAGCAACTTATGTAGTAATAGAACTTATTTTCCTAAAAATGAGAAGTCACACAGTTTAATCAGCCAATGCCCAAAACTATAGTAGAAATGTTAAGGTTTACACAGTATGAGAAACTGAAAAGGTTCTATTCTCAGGTAGTACAAGTTGACAACTTATTGATATACCACAGGAGGCAAGAAGTTGTATGTAATCAATTGAAAAGCAAGCACTTCTCTGCCCAGGATAATGAATCAACATGTTTCACTAATAAATCCATACTGCAGCATTTGTATATGCCTTCCAATTGGTATGTGACAGTGAAATTCAAGACAACATTATATGCCACAAAAAGCTCCCGAGGGTGCAAACAATGTCCTGGAATTAGATGGTGGTGTGGTCGTACAACCAAACAAACACACTCAAAATCACTGAACTGTACAATTTGAAATGTGAATTTTATGACTGGTGAATTAGACCTCAATTTTTTTTTAAAAAAGCTTCCCCCCTTTTTCAAAAGGCCCAGATAATTGATGAAAAACTTTAAAACACAACTAAAATGCTTTCCTCTGTGCCTTACCCTGTACTCTCATAACCCTCTTCTCCTCTATATGGTCTTTATCAAGGCTGTCATGTGTTATAGTTAGCTTGGTGATTTCTCCAACTAGATTTTAACATGGTCAAGGACATTTTAGCTCTGAGATGTATTTCTTTGGCTGAGTACTAACCAGGAATATTAACTAGTTTCTATTTTTTGCCCAGGCAGTTTTGCAATATTCTCACCATAGTAGTTTTTGAACCTTAGTAACAAGAATTTGGCCCAGCCCAACCTACGCCCCTTCAGAAACATGAGGTTATGGGAAGTGCTTTTCTAACCAAGGTTAGCTCTTTGCTCGAAGAGATTAACCAGTTAACCTGGTTCACTTGGAGTCACTGTAGGCGTTAATTTTATGTGTCAACTTGATAGGGTGCCCAGATAATTTGTTAAACATTATTCTGGGGCTGTCTCTGAGAATGTTTCTGGACGAGATTAACATTTGAATTGGTAGACTGAGGGAAGTAGAGTGCCCTCCCCACTGTGCGTGGGCCTCATGCAATCCTTTGAAAGCCTGAAAAGAATAAAAGGGCTGGGTAAGAGAGAGTTCTCTCTTTCTGCCTGTCTTTTAGCTGTGATACTGGTCTTCTCCCTGCCTCCAGTCTCAGACTCAGACTGGGACTTAACACTGTAGGCTCTCCTAGTTCTCGGCCTGCAGACCCAGACTAGAACGATGCTACTGGCTCTCCTGGGTTCCAGCTTGCTGACTGCAGATCTTGGGACTTCTCAGCTTCCATAATAACATGAGCCAATTCTAATAATTTCTCTCTCTCTCTCCGTGTTGCCATCTGTCTCTCTCTACCTATCTGATTGGTTCTGTTTCTCTGAAGAATCCTAACTAATACAGTCACCCGAGATGATTGATTTGGTAGAGTGAAGGGTTTGTAGATCAAGTCAAATTTACGGCCATGGTGTGCAGAGGATAAGTTAAAAGCCCAGGCCAGGCTAGAACCTTGTTTTCCACCTTGCCCAGGCATACCTTAATCTGGAGAACACTCCCAACCTGATGCAACTCCAACAGACATTTCAGTCTTCCCAAGCCATTGATCTGTCCTTACCCCCTTGGCTTGTTCTTGGGGTTACCCATATTAACAGGACTTCATCCTGGGCACTCAATGGATTCTTGTAGATATTTCTCATGTGAGCTACCAAAAGTTCCACACCAAATGGCCAAAGTGAGTTCTTCTTCTGGAGAAACTGTCTGTTTTCCTCCACACCCTTTTAACCCTCACCTCCAAAGGAAGGCCTCAGCCTACCAGCAAATGAAACACAAAGGCCTCCCATCTGCTCTGCTGTAAATATCCCAACATGTACGGTGTTTTTGATGAAGCTTAGGTAAAAAATAAAGAGGTAATATAGCATAAAATATGAGATTACAGATGATCTCAGAGCCCTGAGAGAATGGCCTGTCAGCAGGAAAACATAGCCCAAAATCCTCCTCAAGAGGGAGATGAAACAACTGGCCAGGTAACTGTGGTTTCTTGCTTCTTAAATATCCTTGTAACTCACCTGGGTTCATGCTCTTCTGAGCTCTGACACTTCCCTCTTCACACTAGTTAAGACTGAGGTTTTCTTGTGGTAGAGCTGGGTTTGGGGAGCACCTGCAGGGGAGAAAGTCACAAGCTTGCAGCTCTCATCCAGTGCAGTAAGAGTCTTTAAGAGTATTTTTTTTCTCAGTTTCTATCTGCCTCTGGACATTTTCCAGTGCTGCCAACTAACTGTGCTTATAACATTGCCCACCTTTTAAAAAAATTTATTGTTTGTGGAACAAATCACCCCAGCTCTTCTTTGCCTTCATTACTGGAGGTTCCATTTCTATTAAAGTTTGGAATGTATTTGGAAGAATTCAACAGTTAAATGTGTTCCTTAATTATCAGCAATGGTCCCAATTATTACATAGTTATCATCACGAGGCCAGAAGGAAGGCAAGAGGTGGGAGGGAGGCATCACGGCAATTTTCTTAAAAAGAGAGATGAAGAATTCTCACCCAGTGAGGTCGTCCTCACCAAAAATATGTAACTGTGTCAAAGCAGTTTGAGAAGCTAGTGAATTAACTAATAAGGTTCCTAAATTTTTGTCAACATCTGTGCCCTTCAGATGTGCTGCATTTAAACAATAATAATTTCACTTTCTTTCATTAGATGAAGTAATTCTTAAGTAGATCTTGAAAGGCATTTCTTACTTTCTGTAGGAAGCATTTTTCCATTTGGAAAAACTCAGAGTATTCTGTCTGAGATGTCCCACGGTGGTGGCTTGCTCTCCATTCTCAGCCTATTTGAAAATGAGGAATAGTTCTCAGATTATTTCATCCAAGAGGATTCAATAATGAAAACAAGAGGGGAAGAGAGAAAAGACTGCAGGTCCTGCATTTGGGCTGCCTATATTCAAAACTGGGAGCGTCTCTAGTTACCTGAATGACCTTTTACAAACCACTAAAATTCCACAAGCCTTAGCTTCTTTATTTATGAACTGGGGGAAAACAAACAAACAAATAAAGCAGTACCTATGTCACAGAATTACACTGAGGTTTAAATGAAATAATCTAATGTGCTCAGTACATTGTATCATGGCACAAAGTAATTGCTCAATAGTCATTAGCTATAATTATTAGGAAAGGGGGGGAAAAAAAAGAAAAAGTTACCAGTACTCATCTTTCTTTCAGCAAAGCAGAAGATCTGAAAAAACTAGAAGAAAGTGTGATTTTGAGCTACTGAAAGAGGGACCAGAGGAGAGGGCACCTGGTTCACTTATGTAATCGCCTGCAGTCCCTCATGGCCACCTACGTCTGTTGTATCTCTTCTGCTCTGATCACCAGGAACACTCACAGTATCTTCACAGTCCCACTGGGGTTCAGCATCTAGTTGGGGAGACAATGACCTAGAAAATAAAATCAAAGGCACAGAAGCTTCAGTATTGAAGCATTTCCCAAAATCTGAAGTTTAACTTTTTGCCAGTCACCTTTTTCATAGGAACACGGACAAAACCTTGGCATACTAATTTTTTATCAGGGCATTTTTTAGATGCTTTCTTGTTATGCTAACACAATTGGACACATCACTGCTTCCACAGGCTACTATACTTTGACTGAAGCATTTTATGAAACCAAACATGTTTGGTACACAAATATTTTAAGAGTATTTTCACAGTTATAATTAAGAAGTTTTAACAGACCAGAAGTTTTGTAGCTAAACTTTTACACACATAGAGAGGAGGATGAAAATAATTTAGCAAAGAAATAGCATAGTCATTTAAAAATAATAATTCACGTTGTCAGGGTCCTATCTCCAACCTTTGATATGCAGATCAATCCCAAGAAGGAATATTTCATAAAGTAAGCTCTGGGTGCTGTCTCTCTCCAAGTACGTTTACCACTACTTCAATGTCTGAAGATTTTGCAGAACGTGAGCCAAAACAGAGGCAAATATTTTTTTCTAGGACACTGAAAGCCTCATGATAAAGCTGTTAACCTAACTCTAATTTCTCAAAAGTTCATAAAATATAAATAGAGATCTGTCATTTTCATTTGGCATTCCATCAAATCACCCCAAAACAGCAAAACCTTCAGGAAACACAAAGAAATTAATACCAGGACCCAAACATTACTTCTGAATGAAAAAGGGTCTATATAACCTTTACAATATTGCCTGTCATATTATAAAAGTTCCAGCAAAACCAGAGTCCTGTGTTATATATATACATTTCCCCAATTCCATTGGAGTAATTCCCTCTATTATAAACTTCAAAGCTTTTCAAGAAAAATTAAGTACAGAAAGCACATAAAGGTATGGATATTTCAGATTGATTGTGTAATGCTGACATAACATATAATATGAATCGGGACATGTTCTAAGTGCTTTCAAAATACTAACTCATTTAATACTCCTAACAATCCCATGAGGTAGACACTATTTTTATCATCCCCATCTGGATATGGCGAAAAGATTCAGATGAGGCACAAAGAGGTTAATTAAAATTAACTCCAAATAAAAACTCTAATGGGATGGAAGAGTTATACAACAGGAATCTCAATATCACCATCATGGCCGACCTTCTGCTCCCCCAACTGGGGCCTGGAGTTGCTGCTTAATGTTTTAAACTCTTCTGAAGGAAAATGTGTTAAGGTGATGAACATTCTCTAGATAAAACCAAATTTATTGATGTGCTTATTTTCAACCCTAAAGGCAGAGGGTTCCCAGGAAGTACAAATTTTCAAGTCAATTATTCCTTTAAAACTGTTTGGATGCAATTTAGTCCCTTCTTCCAAGCAGCAGACCATGGCTTCGATTCCATTTTCCCTTTCCACTCTCCATAGGTAAATATGTTGGCTCTCACTACTCCATGGAGCTAAGAGGTCCTCTCATGACTTTAGAGGAAGACATAAATCACTTATTTAAATCTAAAATGTGTAAAAAGTTATAATATAAAATGACATGTGTTTTGTTCTCATTTCATACCTGCAGAGTGCTTGATTTTCCTCTAAAGAGATTTAGCAAGTGTCTTTTCTCCTTAATGAAAACTTAACAAATAGTATGCCCTTGAAAAACTAGGAAATTATTTTCTATAACTTCAGAGGCAATCTTGGAATGGTCTCTTACACTGACAAACATGGAAAGCTATGTCCACAGCAAAATGCTTTAAGGTATTAACTTATTTAATACTCCTAACAATCCCAACAAGCTGCTGAATCAAGTCCTTTGAGGGCAAGGATCAGGTCTGTTTTGCCCACCACTGTGGCCACAATTGCATGCCCAGAGCACATCATAGTGTGCAAGAGACACATTTCATGAGTGAAGAGACAAATGCCCCAGAGTTTAAGCACTTTTGGTATACTTTATATATCCAGTATGGAGTCCTCAACATCCTTAAATTGGAAGGAATAAATCACCCTTCGACAGACATGGTTACGAAGTTCAGGAAAAGCTCTTGCACAGAAGATGCAAGGCTGGTGTTGGAAGGAGTTTTTTTATTGAAGAAGTAGTGGTGACTGGTTTTCTCCCAGTGAATTCCTATACCTCCATATTTCATTGAATCATAGGTACTCACAGGGTGCATTTCTCTCTGATTTGATCAGTCTGTTTTTTCAAAGAAACCTGATTCCAGTCTCTCTATCTAATAAAATAGAAAAGCCACATGGAAAAGCAAGGCAAAAGACTTCAAACAGATAAAAAATATCTTGTAAAAGAAGAACAAAGTTGGAAACTTCACACTTCCTGATTTCAAAATATATTACAAAGCTACAGTAATCAAAACAGGGTGGTTCTGGCCTAAAGACAGACATATAGACCAATGGAATAGAGATTTCCAGAAATAAACCTTTTTGAATACGGTCAAATGATCTTCAAAAATGGTGCCAACACCATTTAATGTGAGAGGATAGTCCTCTGAACAAATGGTGTTAGGAAAACTGGGTATTCACGTGCAAAATAATAAAGCTGGATCCTTACCTTTCACTATATACAAAAATTAAAATAGGTTAAAAACCTAAAAGTAAGACCTCAAACTATAAAACTTCTAGAAGAAAACATAAGGGAAAAGCTTTATGACACTGAATTTGACAATGATTCCTCAGATATGACATCAAAAGCACAGGTAACAAAAGAAAAGTAAAAAAATTTCAGTGTAATGGAAATGAAGAATGCCTTTTATGGATTTATTAGCAGACTGGACATGACAAAGGAAAAAATCTCTGAACTGGAGTTTATATCAACAGAATCCTTAAAAACTGAAAAGCACAGAGAACAAAAACTGAAAAAATATCCAAGGATGCTGGGGCAACTACAAAACATGTGACATACATCATACATGTAAGGAAAAGAAAGAGAGAAAGAAACTGAAGAAATATTTGAAACAATACTGACAGAATTTCCCCCAAATTCATGTCAGAAACTAACCCATAGATCCAGGAAGCTCAGAGATCATTAAGCAGGATAAATACCAAGAACACCTACACCTCAGCATGCCACTTTCAAACTATAAGAAATCAAAGATAAAAATAGTATCTGAAAGAAGCAGAGGAAAAAAAACACCTTGTCTATAGAGAAATAAAGATAAGAATTACATTTGACTTCTCTTCAGAAACCACGCATTCAAGAAGAGAATGGAGTGAAATATTTAAAGCATTGAGAAGAAAATAAAATGAGCTAAAATTCTATAGTCTGTGAAATTATCCTCAGAGTGAAGGAGAAACAGAGTTTCTTAGTCAAAAAACAAAATTGAGGGATATGTTGCCAGTAGCCCTGCCTTGTAAGAAATATTAATAGATTTTTGGAGAGAAGGAAAAGAATATAGCTTGGAAATTTGGATCTACATAAAGTATGAAGAGCATCAAAGAAAGAATAAGTGAAAGTAAAATATAAACATTTTTCTTATTCTTAATTGATGTAATGTATAACAGTTTATTCAAAAGAATAGCAATGATGTATTTAATTACGTATCCTTATGTATATATCTTATGCATATATGTTAATATATATGTGTGCGTATATATACATATATATATATGGATACATATATATAGACACACACCTTATATTATTACATGTAAGTTGAGTTAGTGACAGCATGAGGCAGGAATTATGATTATTTGGTTATTTTAAGGCACTCACACTACTCATGAAGTAGTATAGTGTAATTTGAAAGTGGATTTGGATTAGCTATAAATGTATAATGCAAAGTTTAGGGCAATCACTTAAAGAAGTGAAATAAGAAGTATAACTGATATGCTAAGAAGGGAGAGAAAATGGAATTATAATACACCCAGTTAAAACCACGAAAGTCGAGGGCAGAGCCAAGATGGCAGCGTGAGTAGAGCAGCAGAAATCTCCTCCCAAAACCACATATATCTATAAAAATACAACAAAGACAACTCTTCCTAAAATAGAGACCAGAGGACACAGGACAACATCCAGACCACATCCACACCTGCGAGAATCCAGTGCCTCA